AGCGAAAGCCTCTTATGAGAGTATGTTTGCTGCACTCCCATTATCAACCAAAATCCTCTTTACTTCAAAGTTAGCCACAATTGCAGAGACGACCAAGGCATCATCATGAGGATATGATACTCCTTCCAAATCTCTTGCTCCAAAGGTAATGTCTTCGAGTTTATCATGGGATTCCTTTGAGGTATGAGCATGTTGGCGGGCATATTGCTTTCGCCTACTATTTGTGTCTCCTCCAGATGCTATGCCTTCAATGATAATATTAATGGTCCCGGCAGTGGGTTGAACACTACTTCTAGCTCCAGGCTCTTCACGATTGTCGCAATTATTCCTCAGGCGTTTATCATGACCAATGTAATTTCTTAAGAATCCTCTTTTAATGAGGGCTTCAATTTTTCGCTGCAATGCTTGACAATACTCCGTGGTATGCCCATGATCTCGGTGAAATTCACAATACTTGCTCCTATCTCTTGTGTCAGGGGGCGACTTCATTCTTGGAGGCCACTTCAATTCTTTCATTTCTTTGATCTCCATCAAGATATTTTCCTTGGAGGTGTTTAATCGGGTGAGAGGCCCTGATAGATCTTCATTCTTGCGCTTTTCCCAAGGATACTCTAGCCAGGAAACGGGATCATGTTGCTTTTTGTTCTCGGCCTTTTCATGGGAAGGACCAGATCTCCTTGGATTCAGTGTTTCCTCCATATTAATGTATTTTTCAGCTCGGGTGAGGAGCTCGATCACTGTCTGCGACGGGGTCTTTGATAAGGATATCTTGAAAGCTTTACATCTTATGGCGTAAGTGAGGGCGGAGACAGCCGCTGTGATGCAAACGTCGGGTATTTGAAGCCTTTCTTTGTTAAACCTCGTCATAAATCCTCATAGGGTTTCATTTGGTCCCTGGCGAAGTTGCATGAGAAAGGCCACAGTCTTTCTGATTCGTTTGCTACTTGCAAAGAAGGCTGAGAACTTATCAGCCAAATCTGAGAATGAGGCTATGGAGTTGGGCTCCAATGTCGAGAACCA